AGAAGAGCTTGAAGGGTTGCAATGGTGGAGCAATAAAGCGCAGCAGTTGAGAATGGGCAGAGAAGCCACGAGTACTGGTAGTAAGCTAGGTATAGTAGGTCAGAATGTTCCAACTAGTTATGCATAGGAAGGGAAGGTTCTGGGTCATAAAACGAAATTGAGCCCGTCTTTCCTAGAGGATTTTGAGCATAAGTATGTATGGATGTAATGCGAGTTATCGAAGCAGTGTAATCAGTGGGAATATAACGAGTGGTGCAAAGCAGAAGTGCTGTTAGACAAGGCGTTGGCCTTTGGTGAGTTGGAATATGTGTGCTTGGTAAGACAGGTAGCCCTAGAAAGGGCCTATGTGGTAAGGGTAGCTGACAAAGAAGGATAGGAAGTAGCCTCAAAAATGGCAGTCGTGGATAGTTCGGATCCTATATTAGAGTTATTAGGAAGCAAACGCGAAAGTGCCAGATTAGCAGCACAGTGTTTTAGTCAAACTAAAAGGCCGAAAACCTCTCATTACCCTCGATTTGATCGATTTCAGCAGCAGGCACCAGCCTTTCAGGTGGGCAGTATCCCTGTGGCACAAGTTGTGCAAATACAACCCTGTATTCAACCGACGGGTTTTCAGCCTCAACATTTAGGTCAGCATCTGGGTTTCAAAACCAGTTTGGAGGCTTCATGCCAGCCCATCTGTTATTAGTCCAATCAGCTCCACAAGTTGCGCAAAGTGGAGGACAACAGTTGGTGTCAGAAGCTACTATGTCGTCACTATCACAGCATCAATTGGCTTGACCAACTTTCTAGTGGCCCAGAAGGATGGACAGAGGCAGGGTGTATAGGGGAAGCGGGATAATCTGCTACATGTGCGAAGGGAAAGGGCATTTTGCAAATGAGTGCAGTTCCAAGAAGCACATAGGGTTGCCTTTTCAAGGAGATAGTGCCCGACCAAGGAGTAGTTGACAATGCTCGAGAGGCTTTAAGGAAGGAGGTAGGGTCAGAAGTATGGTAACAGGAAGGATCCACAATTGGGAGGCAGTGGAATATTGGAAAAGAGTAATAAAGCCATCCTATCTGGTGGTAGAGTGGTTAGAGAAAGGAGTTCCCTTGTTTTCAAGAAGCCTAGTTCAGTTAGTGTGTGCACCGGAACCAAGGCCGTATCGCTTTACAGAAGAGGGAGAACTTTGGCTAAAGGACGAGTTGGCAAGGTTGGAAAAATCGGATGCAATAGTAAGAGTAGGCGAAGGGGAGAGGCGTCCTTTAGGTTTGTTGGAGGTAAGCCCAGTTTTCCTGGTCCCAAAGCAGGGTTTCTAAAAGTTTCGGTTAGTAATAGACTTAAGAAGGTTAAATCGGACATTGCCACAAAAGTCATTTCATTTCGAGGGTTTAGAAGGTTTACTGCAGACGGTCAGACGAAGCTGGTGGGCAATCTCTTTCGATCTCAAGGATGGGTACCACCATATATTAATGGACGATAGAGCCCAAAAACTGTTGGGTTTTGTGGTCAGGGGTATTTGGTACAAGTACAGGGTCCTGCCTTTTGGCCTAAGTCAAGCCCCGTAGATCTTCTCCAAGTTGATGAGGGCACTGATCAGCAAGTGGCATGCACAAGAGATCTTTTGTGGGAGCCATCTCGATGATATTTGGGTAGCTCACCCAGTGAAGGACATCTTGTTAAAGATAAAGCAAAAAGTTGTAAGAGAAGACTTGAAGGAATGTGGTTGGGTTCGGGCCAGGAAGAAAGGAAGCTGGAACCCAACCCAAGAATTGAAGTTTTGTGGGATGGTGGTGAATATGTTGAATGGAATTGTAAGGGCCCTAGAAGAAAAGATTGCAGTAATGGGATCGAAGTTGGAAAAGTTATTAGAGGCATCAACGGTGATGGCAAGGGACCTAGCATCAGTAGCCGGCAAGGTAATAAGTCTAGCAAGAGCCTTTCTTCCGAGTCAGGTAAAATGCATGGAGTTTTACAAACTCATAGACGCAAGAAACCGTTGTGTATAGGAGTGAGATGACAAAATTCAGCTATCTGCACAGGCAGTCGAAGACATCTGTTGGTTGGTGAAAAATTTAAGTAAATAGAATGGACAGCCAGCCTGGAAGCCCTCACAGGTAAAGGCAGTCTATGTTGATGCATCGATGACCGGTTGGTGTGGGGTTCTTCAGGAGTACATAGTGGCAGAAAGCTGGAGTTAGCCCCATGCGTTGAAGTTTATAGCGCAGTTGGCGGTACTAGCTGTGTTGTGGGTACTGCAGTTGTTCAAGGGTTTTCTAAAAGGGTTTTGGATAACCCTGTTCATAGACAACAGGGTGGCGTTGAAGACAGTGTTAAAAGGGGTACTACCAAGTGGCAGAAGGATATTATGAGGCAAATCTGGGAAGTTTGTATAACAAATGACATTGGGATTTTCAGTACATGGTGGATCCCAAGCAAGGTAAATCTAGTGGACTTCCTGATGAGAGTGACAGATTCAGGAGATTGGTTATTAAATCCAAAAATCATAGACTATTTGGAGGGTTTATGAGGGAAATTCGGAGTCGACAGGTTTGCAAGCCACCTAAATACAAAGGCCAAGAGATTCAACAGTCTGTTCTTCTGCCCGGGCACAGATGCGGTAGATTGTTTTACCCAAAATTGGGCTGGAGAAAAGAATTACGTATGTCCTTTATTTGGGCAAATCCACAGGGCCCTATGCCATGCAAGAGAATGCCAAGCATGGATAGTAATTATGGTGTCAATATGGGTTTCGGCCCCTTGGTAGCTATTGATTGTGAACGCATCCAAGGAAGAGGTCGACTTGCCAATGCCAAGCCAGATTGTCCAACCAGGACTGTCAGGAAATTTGGAATCTTGCAGGAACAGCCAATGGTGACTAAGGGCAGTGTTGATAGATTGGTCAGTAAACTGCTAGAGAGGGCAGAGTTCTTGATGGATAGGTCTATTTGCAATACATATAAAAAGCGTTTGGAGAAGTCTCAGGATGTTTTTGAAGACTTTGCTGTTTGGGTGGTGTGGTGCCATATTCAGCTTTAGGAGAGCTATTGGCAGCTTTTCTGGCTTGGTTGAAGTCTTCTGGGAGAGTATCAGAGGTTCCTATGTGTTTAACAGCAGTGTCAAGAGAACACAGAAAGAGGAACCTAAGTGATCCAACAAAAGGAAGTGCAGTCCAGTTAATCGTAGAGGGAATTAAAAGGTCGACGGTTCAGGAAAAGGTTGCAGCCAGGTGGCCAAGGGATCTGTTGCCAGTCACAGTAGTGAGGCAGTATGTTGAGCATCCACCATCAGGAATCAGCATGGTGATGTAGGCTCGTGACGTGGCACTGGTAGCCTTTGGTTTAAAAGTTATGCGTAGGCCAGGTAAGTTGTGTAGTCTGAGACGTTCAGATGTTATAGAAAAGGACGAAAAACTGTGAATTAGAGTTTCAAAATCAAAAACAGATCAGCTGAGCAAGGGTAAGTTTATTCCAGTAGAAAGAACAGTAGGTGGAATGTGCCCAGTTAGGTTGTTAAACTTGTATTTGAGTGTAAGGCTGAAGACAAAACCAGAAGAGCCATTGTTTCTGTCCAGAATGGGAGGAAAGCTATCTGTAGCAGCGGTATCTGCGATTGTGAGACAATTCACTGAAAATGCTGGGTTAAAGGGAAGGTATTCAGCACATAGTTTAAGGATTGGAGGTGCAACAGCGGCCATGAAAAAGAGTATGACAATGAAGCAAATCCAGTCGATTGGTGGATGGACATCTGGGGCAGTGCAATTGTATATAAGGGCGGTCAGTACTGCAGAGTTAGAGGCTTCGCGATTGATGGGTTTTTTTAAAAAAAAAAAAAAAAAGTATATATATATATATTATAAGGAAATAGCAAGCTTAACATACAGATCTTATAGCGATGCTCTACAAAGACCCATAATTGTATTTCATTGTATTTTATTGCAAAACACCTTCTTGATAAGAGACAAAATTAGCTGCCTGATACGAAAGTATCGGAGCAGCATTTTGTTTCGAATTGAACACGAAGTGTAATTAATTAATTAAGTGATGGTGTTGTAATTGATGGCATGATTTGTTTGACATGATTCAAGGGAGTAATGACGCAGTTTTTTGTGATTGATTAGCGGGGAGTGGAAGTATATTCGATTAGTAAGCATTGATTAAGAAATTACGTAGTTGAATAGTCTTTGATCAGGTGATCATTAGAGCTAGTTACAGTAATGACGTAATTACGTCATTATAGTTTATTAGAGTAATGACATAACTGCGTCATTAGAGTTTATGAGAGTAATGATGTAATTACGTCATTAGAGTGTATTAGAGTAACGACGTAACTGCATAGTTTGATTAGTTTTTTGATTAGTTTTTGATTAGTAATCGCTAGATCATATTTAAAGAGGTTAGAGTTTTTTTCAGACAAGTAATTTTTGTTTTTTCTGCTAACCCGACTTTGTCTGGTTTTTTCGTTCCACCCTTACCCACCCTTATATATGCTAACCAAATGTCATGATGAGAAATTCTTGGATCTTAACAGGGCTTGACCAGGCAGACGACAGACAAAGTTCTAGCATTAGTTAGATGGCCTGTCAGGACGACAGCCACAAGGGAGTGTTGTAAGCTTATATGTACGTTGATCAGTATATTTGGCCTGTCAGGACGACAGTCGAATCTTTAGTTCAATTTTTTAGTAGGTAGCCTGTTGGGACAACAGTCACAAAGAAAAAAAAGTAATTTTTATGTAATTGCAGACATTACACTCGGTAGGTATGATCAGTAGAGCATAATATTCATCTGCACATTTTTCGATGCTTTTAAATTCTGCGTTATATTTGGAAGTTTGCATGAAGCAGGAGAGACAGTATACCTATAATTGTATTTCATTGTATTTTATTGCGAAACACCTCCTTGATGAGAGACAAAATATCATGAATCTCAGTAAGATTAATAAGTTCTTATGTTAATAACTTGCTTCTGTAGATGTTATCAGAATGTTTTTGTATGATATTCTCTAAATTCTTGTCGACTCGAAAAATTTGGATTTGATTTCATCTATATTGTCAAACTTTTCTATCTCAAAAGAATGAAAAGAACCATCAAAACTATATATAATTAAAAATTACTAGACAAATTGGATAATCTAACCACTATTAGATGCGTCTTATTGAGCTCTATAACTTTACTTAGAACGCCAAAGATGATTAGAATACTTCAAGTTTTCTTTAAATGTTAAGAGTGCAGGTCGAGAGCCCATACATTGATTTCTAGCTTGATATAGCATTCGGGTATCCTAGATGTGAATTCGGGTTTTAGCCATTGCATATATTTATAGCAAGACTTTTGCTAAATGGTTAACATCGAAAAGTCTTCTTACTTCAACATCGTGTCCATGATTATCCAAAACAGTAAGTACGTACTTATAAGCTGATTTAGTAAATGGTTCACCTGCAAAGCTTCTGGTACAAATATGGCATTATGCAAAAATGACACTGTCTATATCGTTTTCATCATATTTTTAGATAATCCCACATCAGAAATAAACATATTAATCTAAAAACTTAATATAAAACCATTTATTATATTACGAGGCAGTTTTAATTTAATCTACCAAACATGATTTTGAAAATTTTTTTTTAAAAGGTTGTAAAGACTTTACATTATTTGTGTATTGAAATACCTTCAAGCCTACTACTATTTAGTTTACATTTTATAAAATTTTTAAATCATTTTAAGTTTACTATAACATATTGTATGGATATTGTGTCAGATAGATAATTCTAAGAGAAAGTTTTCGAAATTTAAAGTATATGCAGGGTTGTAAATATTGTAGAGCATAAAGGTAAGATATAACAGATTGAAATGACTGTGTGCAAGTTGGTCTGCAAGGTTATTGTACTGATTGTCCTGATGAGCAGTAACTTTGTAAAAAATAATATGAATGTTGTATAATTTAATAAAGTTAATAAGTGTATTTCATAATGAAAAGTATGATATATGTGTATAAAGTAGAGTATGAGTTAAGTTTGAAAGACTGTGATATTTAGAGATTACAGATTGTGAATTGGTATATATATGTATAGTACAATTTCTAGGAACAGTAATTAGAGTTGTTAAGATAGCAGTGAGCTCAGTTTTAAATGAGCAAAACTAGTATCTTATCTGGGCTTGGAAGGTATGCAATATATTGTTATTTAAAATTTGGCCTATCTGATGCTCATAGAGCATTGTGAGGTACCTAGATTGATGACAGAGTCATCTGTATAAAAATAAAGATCTAATAGTTGTGCATTGTAGTTGGCAATTTGTTGAAGATTGTCTGTTAAAGTACTGAATTCAAATATCGTTAAAATTAAGTATGTTGTAATGTTGATATTAGGGGGATTAGAAATTTGAATAGAATGTTGAATTGCAATAGAATATATAAGATCAAGGTGGTTGGCATTGAAGTTAAGAGTTTTGTTATATGTATTGACTCGATCAAAAAATCTAAAAGAGGGAATATTGATTGTATATTTGTTGGCAATTATATAAGAATTAAGAGAACAACCTAGGCATATTTGTAATTGAATAGGTAAAAGTAAATATAGACAAGTAAATTGTTATTCAATATAGCATTGCCAGTAAGTAATAAGAATGGTTTTTGAAGAAGAGGACTGTCTTCTAGTTTTGCCAATAATGATTTAATCATCAAGTAATATAATAAGTTATAGTTTTTTCTTTAAAGAAAAGTGTCCAGTTAAATAACAATAGTAGTTTGTATTAGGTAAGTGTAAATATTAGTAGAGAGTATGATTGTATGAATGACTTGTAGTTTGGTCTTCTAGATAATTAAATCAGAATAGTTGTTTGTCTTTAGGAATTTTGTTTATATGTATAGATATATGTTTCTAGTCTAAAAGACATGAGTTATCAAATGTAGTTAGTTGATCTAAGTAAAAGATACAATAGTATCTAAGTTGTTTTTTGAAAGTTGAGTATTTCAAATATCTTTCTTGAACAGTATATAGAATATTATATAATGAGTTAGATAAAAATATAATACCAAAATGGTTAAAGAGTTAAATAATTTTAAAATTAATAGTATGTTTGTTAGACCCATCAATGATAGAATTATTATATATCAGAATACTAGTAGATGATCACTAGTTGTTCTGAACTTGCTAGAGCCTAATACAAGTACTTATTCCTAATAGATCAGAAGAATTAAGTCTTTTGGTAAAGTTTGTAATATAATGTTGTAGTTGAATATCCCATATGTTACAGATATTATATAGCTGAAAGTGAAATAATGTGCTAGTAGAAATTGTGCAACTAAGTTTGGCTTTACTTTTAACAAGTCCTATGTAACTTGTAAGCATTTTGTAACATGTATATTGATTAAGAACAATGTTATGTAGTTGATATTCAATTGTGAAAATAATGATAGTATTGATTATATAACATGCATGTGTGTTAGTAATTTGTTTAGTACGTGCAATTTTAACAAGGTGTGATGATTCTGCAGTGATAAGTTTGGTTTATTTGGCTTGTTTGTTATAAAGTATAAATCAACATTTGAGAAATTTGAATAGTTTATTTGGTAAATGAAGGTTAAGAAGGTGGTTATTGTATAGGGATATAGTTAGTTTGTTTTTTATTGGTTATAAGTACAGATTTGGAGGAGTTAATTTGTATATTAGCCATATTAAAAAATGATTCAGTTGCAGAAAGGATTTATGATAGTTCTTGTTATAAGAATGCTATCCAAAGAATATTATCTATGTAGTCAAGAACTGAGTAGTGTGAGCTAAGCTTGTTATATATTTAGTGTTTTAGGTTAGTTAGCCAAGAGACTTGTATAGTGTAGCTATTGAAGTTGTTATAAATGTATGAGATAAGTGGGTCATAATAGATTCTCTATAAGAGAGAAATAATAGTTTCATTCTGATCAATATCATTGTGTACAGGGTATAATGGAATAAGTCCAAGATTTGTAATAATTTGGTTTTGTTGATTATGAAGGATGTTAGTAATAGTATTTATTATGGAGTTAGGAAGAGCAAGACGTTGTAAAGATTTTTGAAGAAGAGTAAGATTAACTTAGTCATATGTTTTACTCATATCTTGAGATAAGAGCCAAATTGGATTATTGTTGCATAATGCATCTTCAATAAGGTTATTAAGTATATGAATTGGTATAGATGTACTGTTATTAGGTAAAGCTACATAATTGTAAGGTGAAAGTATTGAATGTTGAGAAAACACAGTACTGATTCTAGTAGTAATAATTTTTGTATAGACTTTTCGAATATATTTGATAAGACTAATAGAGCAAATAAAACTTAGATCATCATTAAATGTATTACATTTTGGAATCAGATAAATTCTGCTGTATTTCTATTGTTTGGGAATTTGACTTGAGTTAAAGCAACAATTGAATAGAGCTGTGATAGCTTTAATGCAAGTAGTACCTGCATGTTTAAGCATTTCATAGCTGATACCTATAGGTCCCAAGCTTTTCTATTCAAAAGTTGTAACAAAGTTTGAAGAACTTTATTTTCTGTAATAGAAAAGTTAAGAGAGTTGTACTATTGAGTATTGATATGTGATTGTGATTGATAATCTGTATGCCAGAAGCTGTCAAACAGTGTTTAGTCAATTGGTCGATATGCAGTTTAGTCATGAAAATGAGATTGTATATGCTGTTTTATGAGTTTGGGATCTGTAATAAGTTGGTCAGGAAGTTTGATGTTGGAAAAGTGAATAGAAGTTTTATATCGATCAAGAATACTGTTAATAGCTTGTTTGGGGTGTGTTGAAAGTGTTTCACATTTCTTTTCAATTACTTATTTGATTTGTTGATAAAGTAGTAGTAAGTTTTCTGTATAACAAGTATAATAAAATTGGTTCCAGATATTTTATACATGTTGAATCCATGCATGAGTTTGAAAGTTGTCATCTGAATCAAAAGTTTGAAGATCACAGTAGAATCTATCATTAATAGTCTTGATTCTAGAGTTTATCATATTCATATTGAGATTGTTGTGAGTATTTTTAACAATTTTTATTAGATGACCAAGCTCTTTAAGTAATGTGTAAATTAAGGTAGAGTTGGAAGAATATTGATGATTGTAGCTGTATTTATAAGTTTTTTTGTTAGAAATAAAATGTATTGCAATGTTAATTATTGAATGTTCAATCTTGTGCCAAGTAGTTTCAATGCTTTCATTAGTATTGCTATTAAGTGATGTATTGTAGAGACTAAGATTGTAAGAAAAAAGGTCAGAGAATTCTGTCCATTTTTCAGTTTACATAGCTTTGTAATTAAAGATTCTGCAACTAATACCAGTATGATGACATGGAGGTTTGCTATATGTATTAGTAAAAGTTCAGGTAGATATAAGAATAGAGTGGTTACTAAGTATTGAGATATTGCTATTATCAAGTTTGTATGAAAGAAAGAATTGAATATTAAATGAATTAGTCTAGATATAATCAATATAACTGTGACTAGTATTATTTGACTATTTAAAGTGCTTGTTATCAACATGTGCACTAAGATTAAACATGTTGGAATAGTGTAAATAATTAATAAGTTTAAATATAGATGAAGAGCTACAGGTATCATCATGTGTATTAAATTCTTCAAGTATTATTGAATGAAGGTTGTATTGAAGAGCTTGTTGAATCTATGTAATAACAGTATTTTGTGTATTGTTATATTTTTGCATATCAGTAGAAGAAAGGTAAACAGCTATAATTCAGAGTTTAATTTCATTTTTGAAAAATAAATTTAAAGCAATTGCTTCATCAGGATGTGTTTGACAGTTGTGTATATGTGGTTGTAAGTGTTTTTGAATCATAATAGCAGCACTGTCTGTTGAACTTTCTGAATTGTCTCAGAAGTAGGTAAATAAGTTGTTATTGTGAAATTAAAGATTAGTACTATTAGTAATTTTCATTTTAGTAATACAAAAGATATAAATATTATTGTGAAGACAATAATTTTGTCAGGCTTCTCTTTTAGTTACTGTATTATAATCTCTAACATTGTGTATATAAATATTTATATAAAGGTCATATAAAGTTTGTATAAATGTGGATATTTGTGATGTTGTATGACTATTAAGAAATAAATCAGGTGGAATAAAAGTAGAATTAGAGGAATTTGATCTAAGAGAAAGGTTGTAAAAAATAGAGAGAAAATAAGGATAGATAACAGTATAATTAGGTAAGAAAACGTTATTTGGGAGATATATATGAGTTTTATCATATGTATTGCTAACAAAGAAAGTAATACTAGAGACAGTATTATTATAGTTATATTTGTCAATATGTTATAAAAGAGATTGAATAGTTTGACTATGAGAAAGAAGTGGTAAGTTGTAATAAAGAAGGAATTTGTTGAAACTGTATGAAGATCATAGAAGCTTAAAAATATTGAGAATGATCTTATGAGATTGTCTTCTAAAGGGAA